AAACCAAGAGAGAAACGGTGAATTTGGACAAATGTCACGTTAAATTTCTATTCAGGAACTCATTGACTGTTTCATTCATAAAGTTTTGCTAGTTTTTTGGCATTTGTATATTTATATTAGTTTTATTTTCAAGCACAATGTAATTTAAACGCTTAACATCTTGCTATTTTGTCGCGACSKTCAAATATTATATTTACAATAAAGTATTATTCATGACTATTGACAATCATCTTGCAATGTGTTTTGATTTTTTTTATTCACATAATTTACCAATATAACAAAGCACTCGGCGTACCTCGGGAAACATTGAGATTCTCGGGAAACAAAACTAACCGTTTCCCTTGGGAACAGTCATTATAAACAAAAGAGTTGTAATATATAAATAGAGCTACAATATATTGTAAACTAGGAGACCACCTAGCGAGTGCTAGCTTGATGTTACAAGATTAAAAGCAAGATTTAAACCGGAAATTACTCCGTGCTCTGTGTCCAAGTCTCGTGCCATCTCGTAGGGTAAAAGTTCAGATTACGGGCCCTGCAATTCGAGTCGCTACTACCGAAGCTAGTCCACCCCGACATTCGGTACACACGAAACCCGAACAAAATTCTTACCGTAACAGTTATAGAACAGGAGTCACGTTTGGTTTGATACTCAAAATTTGACATTTGTGAACCTGACATCATTTTTTCAATTTTGTGAAAATAGTGATTATGCATACACCTACTTGCAGAAACGTTGTCATAGAAAATAGAACATTCGAATTTAGTAAAAAGGAATTAATTAAAACAAGACAAAAGAAAGCATTCAGCCTCAGTGACCTTCTTTTGTCTTTTTGATTTATTCCTTTTTACTAAAATACAAATGTCCTATTTTTTATGACAACGTTTTCGCAAGTAGGTGTATGTGATGACTTTTGGCATGACAGGGACAACTGCACAAACCACGATTACTATAAATCATATTTCTGACTTTATGATGATAATACAATATTAATACTATAAATAACAGTAGTCTTAATCTTACTTGGACTCTCGACATTTCAAGTTTTTAAAGCCAGGAATGTTGCAGYTCTTCGATGTCGTTGACTTGATTGTGGTGCTRTTTCTTCTCATATTAAACACTGTCTTTACCTTGTGAAAGGCACAGACATTCTCGCCTTTTTCAGGTGCTGGCTTAATTTCACTGAATAAATGATAGATAAAASTATAAAGTATACACTTCAGTATTGTCTATATTGAATAATATAAAAGATGAATGATAATTCAGCGTGGCACTATAAATTCAGTAAAGCAGATGAAAATAGAAATGAAATAAAATACTCATCACAAATGCTTTTTTTTGCCGACTTGAAGACGAAAACCAGCGAGCTTGGAGAAAATTATTTTCTATGAGTAACGGCAGATTTGTACACCAAAACCGGACAGGCGTGTTTGCCCAGCTGACATGTTTTAACGCCCGAAGCATCGGCAGTAAGGGTTTCGTTTCCCGGTATYATTTTGCCCTTTTGTAAAGATGGTTTGTACCGAATTTAACGACTTTAAACGCTGAAGTAGACCTCGTGTGAAGTCAACTTGTTTTATTCTCACGGTGCCTTTGTTTCTGTATGTTTTAATTGCCGTGCGACTWGAAGTAAAACTGGAAGCAATTTGATGTTGAWCTCTTATTGTATTTCTATAAGTCACTTTTGAAACTGACATTCGTGTTTTTGGGTATTTGGCCAAAATATGCTCGATTTCCAAAAAAATAAAGCTCGTTTATAAGAGAGGAYGATTTGGATGTCCTACCAGCTCTTAGTCACCGTGTTTGTTTTTCTTTTTTTGTTAAAATAATGATCGTTGGTACTTTTGGACAATTAACTTTGAGAGCTCGTATTTTGAACTCAATTGTTCCAATATGCTCCAACATGAAGCAATCTCCTGAACTATATCAACGGCTCTTTAGACGTACCTTTTACTATCTTGGAACTGAGCAATGAACAGCAACAAAAAGCACGCGATGATTTCATAGCCCCACATAACTGCTGCCACGTGATTTGTTCGTTCGAGTTTTCTCCGATCTTCACTTGGATGAGATAAGTGAAAAGAGCTCGGAGAATCGAACAAGTTTTCAGGACATGGTATAGGTCGCAGGTGGAACTCAGAAATGATTTAGACGATTCATGACGTCAGGATACGTTGTATCCGGAAGATTTGTCAATATCCTCACGGATGAGTTATTCTCGAACGTTTCATYGCTAATTGGGTACACGTTGTTCTCATTGAAACGAATCAACCTAACTGTTTATATTGCTTTGATTTCGTTCTTTTTTGAATACAATAAAATAAAGTCCTCATAACTTTGAAAAAGGCGAATAATCCCTCAGTTTCTGTTTCATGTGTGGTTAAACAAATCTCATGTCATAGACGCATCCTCTTCAATGTTTTTTCTTCTATTTGTTTTGGATATCARTGTAAACTCGTTCCTGGCTAATTGGTCGCGGTGTTGGCCTGCTTATGCCTGTCATATGCCATGAATGTTATCCCTGTTTAGCAAGAGCAGCATATGTACAAAAATATACTGATTCGTATAATAATATCCCACGAGGTTTGTTCCTATACAGCCTTTTGCAAAAATTATGAGAATTGTTGAAATATCTAAATATCATAATATCGAGTGCATGATGGGTAATCCCGCGCGATGCCCTTAGTCCCTTGTCTTTGTAGTTTAGGGTTTTTTTTGGCGACAGACTTATCCGTAGTTCTGAACATTTTCTCGATGTAAACAATGAATTATTCTAGCAAACCTGCTTGTTCCGGACAATATATGGATATGGATATTATGATATTTAGATATTTAGACAATTCTCATAATTTTTGCAAAAGGCTGTAAAGTATAATTATAATTATACATATATTATACATATAATTATGTATATGTATAATTATAGTTCCTATAATTTGAACAAGTATAAATTACAGTAACCTCTTTGTAAATTTCTTTGGTAAGTGTCGCTGTTTTGTGTGGGTGATTTTATTAACATTCATCACCGACCAATCAAAACTCTTGTCCTGTGATATTTAAACGCTTTCTTCAGTTGTTTTCTATGATGGCAATCATCTTGATACATCAAGCAAAGTCATGGATTTGTTAACGTTATATATCAAGATGGTATATATGTATAGGGTATGACTGTTTTGTCAGAAGGAAATTTTTAACGAAATACATATATACCGACTTATATTCACGAAATACAAAGGTCTGCCTTTGAATTTCATATCGCTCGGCCACTGAATCTTTCATGATCGCTAAACGAGATCATAAGTTTTCTAGCAGAAAAAAAAAACTCCATCTTCTGCAAGGTTTTCTGATATGAATTAGGATATATCGGGTATCGTTCGTTTGCTTTGGCTATTTTAAATTTGCTTTATTCGATTTTTTTGTGAAGTGTCAAAAACTTGTCATATGTTTTTCAAGTGGTTATTTATGCAGCTGCTTGGATGATTATCAGAGGCAATATATATATTCTTATTATAGTAATTACGTACTGACTTTATTGGTAWTATCAATAGCCAGCACAATTGTGTRTGTTTTGTTATCATAATCATTYTGACGKTTCTGTCGTTSATTGTTATAGTGTCATGAATAACGATCGTTTTATAACATTTCTTTGCCATAATATCGTGTACTGACAAGTTGTACAACATGTTGACTAGTGTTTAATTAGATAGTTAACGTTCTTCACTTCTCGGAGCTTGAACGCAAATCCATCCAGCGGGCTCCTTCAGTGTTTCTTTCTGGTTGTCTTTGAAGTGGTGTATGTGCCAAGTAGTGTTTGTGCTTTTAATATTTCAGTTGTGTTATTGTTCGCTAGGACTACACTTTCTTCACAACTATTATTGAAACTTCTCAGTTGTGCCTCTTTCTTTGATATTTTTATAGTCCACTAAGAAATCTCTTCAACTTTCGATATCCCCTGTTCATCATTCAATTTCTCCGTTCTATCGTGATCAATTGCTTTATTCTCCGTACCGTATCCTTCCATTTCATTTTCGGTAACATTCCTCTTCTTTCCTCGGCCAAAACACGTACAATTCTGCTTCTTTCGCTGTTCTTCTATTTTTTTCTCTGCGTAGCAAGACGCACCATCAAGAACAGTTGATAGRAAAACTAGGCTTATRGTCATCGTCAAGACGTTATTCAACGTTATGTCACCAAAACCAACTGTGGTWGCTGTTATTATGACAGTATACAATCCATCAATAAATGTAAGCTCACGGCTAATCATGAAGAAAACAGCTTCAAGAAACACGTCCAGAAACAGCAAAAACGTAAAACCAACGAGAACCTTTAATTCTACGTTTTCTGGCTCTTCTCTATTCAGGAATTTCTTCTCGAAGAAATTGATGGATTTGATGATCTGTCTGTTKATGACTTCACCAACACTTTTCAACAAGAACAGAAAGATTGGGATTCCGAAAAGGGTGTAGAASACTGCTATCAAGCGTCCTGCTTGTGTCTTTGGTGGCGTGGAACCATACCCTATACAAACCAAAAAGACGACTTTATCATACGATCTAAAGTAAAACCCTTTTCAATTTCTTTCAAATAATTTGCACGCWAGGTGGACATGATAACATCGAGTGCGCATGCGTAGGTTTATTGATTCGACTTCTTAAAGATGTTTATGAGTTCCCCGCTATTTTATCTAAAAAGGGCACCTCTAACGCAAGGAGCGGTTATATGTATATAGGATCCTATAGAGGACCGCAGTCAGGTGCTTTAGCCATGTGTCAGATGTGTCTGTAGACCGCATCAAGAACATCAACTTTATTTTGAAAAAAATTGTATCTTGATCATACGTTGTCGATTGCTGATGGAAACCTTTAAAAGCATATCATGTATGGATAGGATTGGATGATGGTTGTATAGTGATATACTGTCATCTACAGGAAGCTTTTTATTTGAGTTGAAGAATTCCTTTCAATGTTAACAATTCGAAGTGATGATCAAACAAGCACTTGAAACATTGTTCGAATTATGCAAAGAGTTAAATTGCTCACGTTGCTAAATATTAGATAAGTATAAGCATTCAGTGCATTTGAATTGTGTTTGATCAAATAATATTTCTTAAATCGTCCAAGAACAGTGAGGGGTAAAGCAAACAGAGGGAATCGCAAAAAAAAAACATAAAAACAAAAAGAGATTGCCCTGTAAGCCATTCATGGTGTTTCCAATATGCCATTTTCGTACTTTTTATTTCTTTTTTTCCTTTTTTCTTTTATTATCAACTTTTAACTTTTTAATCCGTTTTCATTTTCATTTGTTTTCATTCATTAATCATTTCTCCATTTGTTCATATATTTTTTTTCTCGTTTTAAGTCATTTCGATTCATTATTCTATCTCTTCATCCCATTTTTCCCGTTTTAATTATAAATCGGTCCTTGGCACCTTTTTGTTGCTGAACATGCTTATATATTAAGCTAGAGCAAGAAGTGAAAGCTAAGAAAATATTGAAGTGGATATAATGTAGCAACAGCGTCCGTTTTGTGTCATTTTTGTTATGAAAAAAGCGATGTGTTTATAACAAGACTTGTCAGTGTTTAATGCACTTTCATATAGGTCCATGTTTAGTGACAAGCTGACAGCTTTAAGTCAATTATTCTCAACAGAGGCGTTGATCTTTTTTAATTTACAATCTTTCATAAGTAAACTAAACATAAAAAGAAATAAACTTATCTCGCTTGTGTGTTAATGAAAAACTATGTATATCGTTGTAATATGAGTCTTTTACAGCAAAAAAAAAACCTTGCGTCTCTGCCTAAGTTTTGAAATTCGTTTAAAGGATTTTGGTCTTTAAGCTTCTGCAATTTTTCAAAAAAAGCTAATATATACACTTTAATTTAGCCATTTTCATTGATATTATTTTTGCTTTGATGGTTTATATTAAGGTTATCGCACGTTGTCGCAAAAAAATATATATATATATATGAAAGAACCTCAAATGGAATTCAAAACTATTAGTTGTGCGTTGCTAGCGTCAAATCTTTAAGTTTAAGCAAATATAGTGTGCATGTTGGTATAGTAACAGATAGGGCTTTTGTCWAAAGTAGATTGTTTATATTTTGACGTAGCGATTCGCATTTGGTATCGGCCCCTTGGGCTGTATTCAATACTTTTTCATATAAAAAATAGCTGACAGTTTTAAGTCGTCTCATTTCTTCTTCTTTGTTTTAAGCAAATGAAAAACACAATTTTGGTTATAACACTTCTCAGCTCTTTCTATGGAATATGAAGTGTTCTGTGCAGGTGAAAGAAAATTTAAGGTTATATGATCCGTCTTTTAATCCTAATTCACAGCTTGTCTTGACACTCAAAAAAGAGATAATTTATCTGCTTGCATCACAAAATAAGCTCATTATTTCACTGAATCCAAATACTGGTTAAATACAATTTGATATTATAGCTAGACTAGATGCTTCTTTAGTGGGTAAATAGGTCTAGATGGTAGTGACTATATATCTTCATAACATAAATAAAGATAACTCACCTATCGTTGACATTATCTCAAAACACAGATTTACTCCTCTTGAAAAGTCCCATTCSTTTGGCCTTTCGGTTAAAACYTTTGTAATATTTCTCACTTTTTCGGCGAAAATCTCCATTTCCCGATCAGTCATATTGGAAACGCAAGTTTTCGTGTTGTTTCGTAATCTCCATAGATCACTGCGAACTTTCATTTGAATTTCGTTGAGGTTTTCTTTGAAATCTTTATAAGGTCTGTTCTCAACRGTCATGAATATGAAAGCTCCTAGGGAAGAATAAACCAAATAGATCGCCAAGCGAATCCAGAAGTCTTTTGCGATCTTGCTGGGATTTCGACACGACATGTTTTGGCGCTGATTACAGTGTCAATGCACCAGATAATAAAGTGTAGACTGCAGTGTTAATGCATATATGGAAACGTTTCCTATATTAATGTTTTTCGTAATAGAGTAGTTATTTCAAACTGGATTACCAAACATGATTGGCTGAGATATTAATCGATCATATTAAGTATCTCTATAATTGTGCATTTAGAATTAGCTACATGAATTCAAGAGAATTAATTTTGGAGTTTTGTTCAGTATTGTGGAAAGCGATTAGTAAAATGACCTAATTGGGAATTTTTTGTTATTGCTATGGTAATCCTGATGCACTTGTCATCAWYTCAAAATATCTCGATAATTCCAAAGTAGAGATATCAATATTCAGCAATTTTAAAGTGTATWCATTGCGGGCGGTTGACTTCGCAGTCATCCCTTACAACAGCTGGTGAAAGCTTTATCAATATTCCCTTGAGATCTCCATCTTATTGGAACAAACGAAAAACAAAGAATTGCTTGCTAAATTTCTTGTCATCGCTTCCTATCAACTGAGTGAAGCCCTTAAGCCACTTTATCTACAGGTATAGACGTGTGTTATAAACGAGTAGTTCTTTATGACGTCATTGTGTTTTTACATTAAGGACTATATAGCACTTCACTTGAGGATAACCTTAGGTTACGTCAAGAAATCATACATCATTCATAAGAAAGCTACTTAAGGGTAAGTTTTGAATAGAAAGAAAATTAACTCTTGRATTGTTTTTCTTTGCTCCCCTGGTGCCGGTGCAGCATGCTATCATTCCATAATGAAACATGGCAATCATGCCACTTTATCCATAATTGATTGTGCAACCATATTCATTCATGAGAGCATACGCTGTCTTAATAAAAAAATAGTATTATCTTTTTAAATTAAACTGCCACCAGACAATATTTGAATTCTTCGTTTTCGTTTCAAAACCAGAGATAAGTGTGCTCCGCTTGAATTGCCAGCCGAGTTTAATTTCGACCAAAAAACTATTAAGAGGGYAAACTTCAACTCACAACTGAGCTGGGAAATCCCCATCGAGTCGCTTTGTTTCCGTCCTCAATGTCAATACTGAATATATGGGCTACCTGTGTGAACATGTCCACCTTCTGCGCATACTCGGATAAAAGAAAATTTTATTGTTTTTGTTCGTAGCAACTTTATAAACTAAATTTATAAGAAATTACATGAATTTATAAACTCACACTTTTCGGTAGGCGTTTAACAAATTTATTAATAAYTTTTAATTTACACCTTTTTAGTTTTTCTTGCCATTTTTGTTGGTACTCCTGAAGGCTGTTGATAAATTAACGTTCGGACCTTATGATCATCGCAGAAGGGGCTGTATTTATGTGTTGCTTTTATTTAAAACATAAGTAATGAATATGAAGTTGTACATTTTTGTCAAGTACCAACAGAGAGTCTCTAGAGTAACACCAGTTGTACACACGGAAAACAGCATGACTGTATCTAAACTATACTTAATATAGAAAAAAAAAAGAAATCTCGCGAGTTAACTGAATTTGGAGCGGCTGATTGCTATAAATAGCATCTTTGCTAYAGAAGGGCGGCTCAGATGGGCGTTCAATTATGTAACACATAATCTTATTTAAACGCGCCAATCGGAGCTCTGTCACAACTTGCCAGAATAGATCTCTGTCTKCTGTGGTAGATATAAAGAATTGTTTAATTAATTCGGTGATGTATTTCATTAAGCCAACAACTGACACGATAAAAATACTTTCTCKCTGCTGTTTACCATCCTCCATTTCCGTTTGTTTATATTGGAGCACTTTAGACAATTTAGAGAATCCTTCCGATTTAAAGGGGTGGAATTAAACCAGTGAAGGAAAATTGTCAAGCTACAGTAAACTGAACTAATAGACTCAAGAATAGAAATTACTAAAATGYACCTCTTCAACTATCCACTTGACTAAATACATACCCTAAAGGGTGCCAATAATGAATATATTTTGGAACATTTCTTACTTCTTTGTTGTCGTGTATAGCTGYRTGGCTTTCATCAATTGCTTTTTCTCTATTTGAAAAACAAGTTACGGCGATTTTCATTTACCATTCAKCTCTGTGAATACTGACTGGTTTAGACTTTGATAACTTGATTTAAACTAATAGTTTATTAACTCATTCCAATTTTATTTTAGCCTTAGCTGTATTAGTCATTGAGAATGAAAAGTCATCAATGAAATCAAAATCAAACATCCGTTGAGCATGCGCAYAGTCGGTAAATTTTCTTTTATGCCATTTTGAAGTGTTATCTTTCCCACATTCAAGGACATGGTTTTGTGGTTTCGTTCATGTTTTTCATGCCCTATAGCAATGTATAACAATTTCTTTGATGTCTTTTTCAATCCTATAAAATCAGTTTGGACGTTTTTTACTGAACTATGTGTGACTTCATTTGATTGTCTGAAAGATTCTCATTCTATATTTCGCCATTTCGACACGAATTTAATTTTATTGTACAAAGCAAAACAGCCGGATGAAAGGGCGTGTTTGCTTGGAACCCCTGCCTCGCTAAGTTGGAGCGAAATAGCTTTATACATATACACAGGAAAAAGGAAAAACCTCTCCTTACCGAAACGTTTTTATAGATTGTCATGGCGGTTCACTGGATTGACATACATTCTCAGTAAAAAGAACATTCAAATGATGAACYTTAATRTAATGGACAAGTCTATGTCAATGGCACTTTGTTGWTAGCTGTTCATGTCTTCTGAGAACAACGCACGAACCCTATTTGAATTGAATGAGAAAAGGTGGTATAAACCCTTCTCAATTGGTTTTGGTAGCGTCTTTAATTGTTGTCGGTTTGAGTTAATTTAAATGAATACAAGAAACGGCACAAAAGCTCATTTGTGTGGACAAGAGTTCATCCAATAGAAGAGATTGTGGTGTGTAACAACACTGTTTTTGAACCTTGCGTAAGCAGCTGTTATGTTAGTCAAAGTTCCCGTCGTGTTTGCGTCACCTGTTATTTATTCTCATTAGACAATGAATACAGAGCACGTCAAGCCTTTACATCCTGCTATATGTCAATTCATTGATGATAAAACAGTTACACGTCGTTAAAATGTATCATTCACAATACTGTGTACTCGTCAGAAGGCTTTAAGACAAAGGTATGACCACATTAACGAGCAAGAGACATTAGGATTCTTAATCACAGATATGAATACGACGACTGTATCGCCTTGGAATGACAAGCAGTCCGACTGGATTCTGTTCGTTGTGTCTGTGATTGTTTTAACGGGACTATTTGGAAATGTTCTCGTTATTATTGTTACCATGATGAACGCGGTTTTTAAGACGACAGCAAATGCTTTGATAGTCAACCTAGCTATCACTGACGTTCTATCTTTGAGTAGCTTTGGAGTTCTTATATTCAATCTCAAGAAGGGAGAATGGATSTATGGAAACTTACTATGTAAACTGAATGGTTTTTCTGCGATGACTTTCTCTCTAGCCTCAGCGCTTTCTATCAGTTGTATAAGCGTTAACAGGTTCTTGTACACAGTACATCCACCTAAATATCATTCGTTCTTTGGGCCGACAAGGAGGACTTTGGTTATGCTCGCATTTTTGTGGATATTTTCGGGAACGTTTGGTAGTCTACCGATTACTGGATGGTCAAAGTATGAGTATTTCCAAACGAGAGGATTCTGTTTCTGGTCTGTATCGACAAGTCTTTCGTATACYATAACYTATTATTGTCTTGTTGGGCCGTGTTGTCTTTCAGCTGTTTACTGCTACTGGCGAATTTACCGTTCAATACATCAAAACGCACCTAATCAAATCATAAACAGTGCGTCAAGACATGGAAAYATTAGAAGGCAACTCAATGACCATACGACTGAGCTAAGCGAGAGGAAAATCACCATTTCTATATGTTTAGTGGTGATCTTCTACTACGCWACACTGGCACCCTTTACTATTGCAAATCTACTAATCGTATGGAAACCTGGTTTTGAACTGACTCCAGAGCTTGATATGTCAACCACAGTGATTGCTATGACCAACTATGCTGTCAATGTCTTCATCTATTCTATGTCTAACAGGAAATATCGACTCGCCATTAGGAAACTATTTCGAAAAGTCAAAGACTTCTTCTGGAGCAGCGAAACTAAAGTCCAGAGCATTTCATCCGCTGGGAAAAAGAATAGAACACAAAAACTAAAGTAATATCCATTATTTTTGTAAGAAATATAGCTTAATTAATTAACCGCTACTAGAGCTATTTCCAATGGAAAGSTAATATATTACCTGATTCTGTATTCTGACTTTATTGAAAAGATTAGAAAGAGAGATAATGTCGTGTCAACTTAGATGCAACATYTATTGTGGACTGAATAATTAGATACAAGAATGACTCTCAGAAATTCATGTGCTAGTTTTACTTGATTATATTATCTTATTTAGTGAATTCTTACCAGGAGAAAATTTATCAGTTCCTCTTGAAAGGTGCGGAAATATCAATAAATCACACTTGCTAAAGAAAAAACATACAAACAAGTAAAAATCAAAATCTTGTCGTGTTAAAACTCTCGTGACAAATCAGTTCTTTCATATTCTATATATTAATCTTGCGAAGTTATATCTATATATTAAGTTTACCTCAATCTTCGGTGTGAGCCCTACAATCGAAATTTCACTCTATAATATTATACAKTAGACAGTGGCTGTGAAAAAATGAAATGTAAAAAATCATTGAACAGCAAAATAAGATAAGACTRTTCAAATACGAATAGTACCAAGTGATGGTCGTTAAGCCGGCGGCACAGTTTGAGTGCTGTACTCGAAAGTGATATTTTAGAATGTATTTTATTTGAAAAGAGTACTTGCAGGCCTCTGCAGGATGATTAAGTAATGAAATATATTGATAATCATTTAGTTTTTAGTATAAAGCTGACCACAGCTATCTGCATATGAAGCAATTCATTTTTTGTCGGCAGTTTTTCTAGACGATGTGTCTTCTCTGCTTAATTATAAATTTGAAAAAAGAAGACGAATGATATTAACTAGCACGAGTTCTCCTTATGATTGTTGACTTCAGTAACATGCACAGTAACATGGTCTTTTCGCCAGTTAGTTTTCACCAGCAGCTAGCTAACTCGCACGTCTTAATAATCTCACAGACAAATTCCCATCTAGTATCGTTTATTGCTGATATTGTAACAAAATATTCTTAGCTTTTCTGTGATTCAGAATAACTTTTAATAAGTCAATGAATTATTTAGATCATGGTTTAATATTTATGTTAATCTAAATTATTATCAAAGTGATATGATTTATTTATCACCGCCATGTTGGATGAATGAACAAAGATAAAGGATTTTATCGTCCATCATGGCRACTATGACGTCACACGTGCAAATCAATGTGTTTACTGCTAGTACACTATCAAAAATAGCTTTTAAAAGCTTTGTTTACTTATTGTCAATCGTTTTAACAACATCGTTTCCTATTATGTAGCGTCGTTCACAAAAGAACTGGTTTGTGCTATCAATATACTATTCTTAGTGCGACAATAGACATAAGAAACAGATGTTTAATTGTCATGATTTTGTTTACTTATCCYTAATACAGACCTACATCACTACATTACAAAGAAAACCTAAGGATCGGAAGCAATCTGCCTAAAGCCAGCTATTGCTATTTTGTTTTTCACTGAGAAACAGCTCTGGGTGAAAAATAATGTTTTTTAAACTCGTCGATTGATTCTTCAGCGAATCTATTCATTAATCCACATCTAGTCTATATCTTGACTTAATACAGCGGGGAACTGTGTACGATTCCCTTAGCTAGCCAAGATCGCTAAATATTTTTTCTACTTTTTTTACATAAAAATGGMGGCCGTGTTGTCACGTGACTSTGTTTCCATAGCAACAAAATAGAAAAATCACCACAATGTACGTACATCACAAAATCAAGAACTTTGGCGTTAATCGGATCAAAAGTGAATGATTTTTAGTGCCTCCTTAAATTAAATGTACTTGTCCGCAAACCAAAATCCTTAMAAAATTAATCTTTGAAAAGATGTAAATTTAAAATTACTTCTTTGATTAAAGTCATATTTTTGGATTTTTGCTCTTAAACTTCGTGATAACTCTATCTCTGTATMTTTCTTTATCCCAATGAAGGGATAACGCGTTCACAGTTTAACTTGTGTAAAGCTCTCCTCTGTGTTCATTCACTTCTCACCGGTAAAATTGAGCAAAATATCTATTCGGCGGTTAGTTAAGTCAGTTTTATGGGGGAAAAAAACTACTTTCTCTTTACTAATAAGAATATWWATTGTTATTTTTGATTTTGTTCGGWATAATTCAATAAATCAGCTTGTTATAAGGTATAAAGTTAAGCAGTCAATCATATCAGAGGTAACACGATTAAGTTCATATTTACAATACACATTTGTTTTGATTTTAGTGTTTTTCTTTGTATACGCTACTTGCATTCATGACGCTTAGGGGCCTTAGGCCTGAGCTAATCTAACAATTATATCCATTGAGGCAATCGGAAGGGGCAGTTCAGAGAAAAGAGACAATTCAGACCGCTGAAATCGTAAATGAGAARGAACGGTTTTTGCGGATTCCAATGGCGTCCCCTCGAAGTGACAATAAACGTGTTTTAGAAATAGAGATATGCACTCATGGACGCCTATCTCTGTATCTGTTACTGTCCTCCTGTTAGGCATGAGATCTGATTGGATTAAAACTTGTAATCGAGCTGTGAGGAACTAGGCACGTTATAGGCAGACGATCTGTTTATATTTTCATCAACTGTGACTTGCGCAGTGGGCTTGTTCTCATTCTCGTTACTTCCATGATCAGGATGCATGTTTATTGAGCTTTCGAGATCTGGAGTGATGGAGGCCCTTCCACAGCTGATAACTTTGGTTATAACATCYTTATAACCCTTACGATAACTGTCCGTTAGAAGAGCGTAGATAACGGGGTTAACGCATGCGTGGATGAAATCTAAAATGATCGAAGCGTCATATACAACATTAATCTTCTCTCTGTCTGGACTACCAAAGGCATCAACCATCCACGCAATTTGTCCAGGAAGTAGACAGATTGTGAACAATATTACAATAACGGCCAGAGTCATAATGACCTGCTTGTTTTCTTTGCGTCTTTTCTCGCGCTTGGAATTTTTCCCAGGCGATGACTGGGGTGCTTTGTGCAGAACAAGGAAGACACCAATCTTGATGTAAGCTACTGCTATGATGCTCAACGGTAGAAGAAACTGCAGTACAAACAGGGCAGCGGTGTAAATATCCGCGTGACTTGAGTGGAACCATTTTTCATCGCATTCAGTTCCTTTTGACACGCTAACGACTGCTATCGGCAAAACTATGATGAAGGACGCGAACCATACAAAACCAATGATCCTATAACCAGTCTTGGGTGTTAATTTAGTCCGGTTATASGGGTTGACGATGACATAACAACGATATATCGCCATTGCGGTAATTGTAAATATACTTATGAAGTAAAAGATGGTGTGGAGAAGAATCATTATACGGCAATAAGCGTCAGTCTTGTAAATCGTCAAGTACTTTTCATAAACATAAAGCGGTAATCTTAGCAGAAGAAATAGACCGTCTGCAAGGGCTAGATTTAGGACAAACATCTCATGGATAGATCGTTTCTTCTTCTTCCCCAATACTGCAATAACTAGAGTATTGCCCAGCAATCCGAAGATGAATATCACTACAGTGAACCCAACATATACATCTCTTCTACCGGTTGTATCTCCTGCAGACGTGGAGTTGTTCATTTTTCCTGGTCACTGAAAAAAAAAACGATAGTTTAGAGAGATGCCAGATAGACCATCCCTTTGATTTGCTTAGACGAGAGAGTTATTGTCATCATATAATCTATTGTTTCGTGTCTCAGAAGAATTGAAGGAGTTTACTCTATGACAATCAAATCATAAAACAGGAGAAATTAGCAAACATTAACCAAGACGAACAATATGGAAGAAAAGTCTGAATAAACAGTAATCTAACTTTACTTTCAACGTTGAAATCCATCAAGCTATACTACTAGTTTTAGTTAGTGTCATGTTGATAAGATGGCAATTTTTTACTACGTGCATCAGTAGAAAAGTTCTCGACAATTTCATATTGACACAACCTACCTTAAGCACACCACACGCGGTGAGGTTCTCACTGTCTCGTGATGTGTTATGAACACCGTATTTCATTGGCAAAATTGCCTCGCGAGGCAGTGAGAAAAGTGCTCCAGTGGAATCTCACTCACCGTTGTGCGGCATGCTTTAGTTACACGCATGATCTAACTCGTTGAAAATCAAAATCAATCACCCTCCAGTTTCCTCGCTAATTAAATATAGTTAGGAACCTTGTAGCTTGTTCACGCCCAGGGAAGGCTTTTATATAGTGAATGTGTTTAGGTGAGGTAGAAATCCTTTTGAAGTCGTCAATATTCTCAAAAAGTAAAGTGCTTCCGTTTAACAAACGACTGAGCCCCCAAGGTTCAATTGCCGTGCATTGGTTAGGCTTGTCATTAGTTTTTTCTTGTGGGCCTTGTGGTTTAAAAGTCATAATCATTTTGTCGASCCATATACTTAGTTACTCTTCTAAAAAGGTTGCTGTCTGCGAGTGAAATTATCGATCATTCTCGATGTATAAGAAAGAGAATGTGACTCTAATCCTTCTGTTCGAATGGCACGATCAAAGCTTCTTATATTCCAATTTCCCAATTTACGATAAAAGCTTCTAATTGAAGTGCAATATCGAATATCTACTGTGTTCCGTTGTAAACGCATCTAATAGTCAAGAGGATAGTCAGACCATTTTTATCATGCCATCATATATCAGCCTTTTGATCAAAGGTTCTATTTGAAGAGTAATGTCAAACCGTTTTTACTCATTAGCACGATCAAACATTCGAAAGCATGATAAAAGCTTTCAAGTGATGTGCATGTTGATAGGATATTAGGAAGGTAATCACAGAACCGAAAGGCATTCAATTTTTGAAGCACACCTGCCCTGAAACGTCGCGTTTTACGATGACATACTTTTGAGGCACATCAATATATATTGTTCACTATATATGGGCCTTGTCCTACTTTGTCCTATTAGCAATTAACTCTAGACAGAAAGATTAGAGAAACTACCTAATAGGTCAGTGATATTGGTACAAATGATCCTACCAGAATACTGTTTGTCAGTTGTACTTACCATGAATTGCGTGAATTATGTCGAATTTTAATTTGGCAAGTATTGATGTCTTACTAGCTAATTGATTGTATCTTAGTAACGGATCATTTAACGACAAAAATCAAAAGCAGTTTCTCCAAATAACTCCTCCTTACTTGTCGTCTTTATCCGTCATGACATGACTCTTTAGCGATTTTGGAATTGTCGACACTGTACCAAAGTGGGGCCAAAGTGCTATTTATTGTAAAGGTGTCGGAACCAGTGGGGCAATCTACCCTCAAAGCAAATATCATTCATTTGAAGGTAGTTGAACTACCAGACTGACAATATTTCAATTTACAATATTAAGAAACCGCAACAAATACCGCGATATTATCGGCAAATATGCAAATCGTRAAAAATTCGCAGAATGAAAAGGAASTTGTTCGTTCTTTTTTGAATTTCTTTGAAGTGGTTAAAAGAACTCATTTTACCCTCGTAAATCAAATCCAATATTATTTTTATTAGAGTATGATATSAGAATAATTTCAATTTAAAAAGTCAAGGCAATTATAACAAAACCAATTTTAACACGAGCAAATTTTTAGAGACTTAAGAAAATTGTATAAGATTTTTTGGTTTCTTATTGTCGTTAGCAATACCACATTGTAAAACGCTTTAAGGTAGACACTTAGAATACCGGCTCGCAGCGTTCCTTCAAGATTTTTTTTCTATTAATTAGTGTGTCGATTTATAGAATACTCACTGTGATACTTATATGTACGATATGAAAAGACTTGTAACGATTTCCAATGAAGCTACGTGGCTGTTCATAATTATTCAATATCTAATGGTAAACTCGTGAACCTGATCATTTCTTTACATAGAGAAAACCCACCACCTTGTAAGATTTCCCCTTTAACACGATGTCACGATTAAAGGAGTCAGTGTAGTTTTCGTGTTTGATTTTTTAGGATTTTTACTATAGTTACCTATCTTCAAACAAGAACTTCAAATAAATATTGTAAATATTAAATTTGCGCAAAAATGAAATTAAAGAATCATTTTGGAAACAAACAAAAAGTGTTGTTTTTTTTTTTGGTGTTCAGTACCTTAAATTTTTTAGCACTCTGTTCTGTTTATCAGTGTACCGTAATGTAGAAGGTTTTGATGTTGGTCCTCTCAAAGCCAAGTAGAACGTTATACTCCGTTATTCAACGTCAACCGCTGTGTTTGAACGGAAGAAAATGTTGTTTGGCTCGTTTGTTTTGACGTGACAGTTCGTGATATCATAGTCAATATTACATTTCCTCTATCCCTTGTTAGTATAATGATAAAAATGTTTTTTACAAGGGAAAAATTGGTCTAAATTAAAACAATGACTCAATATAGCGATGTTGGGTATGACACATCGCACCAAAAATGAATCTTTTGTAGAAGAAATGAAAAGTGCTCAATTATTTAATGATTTACAGTTTCTTGCTTTAAGTCAAACTTGTTATGTGAGCATTTTTAAGTCTTCCGTTTRATCTCTATATTCTGTTCTTTATATTTTTTGTGAATCCTGTAGAGCTTGATTAATTATAATATATACCGCCTCTTCCGTTGTCTATGTAATTGCAGTGTACCATGTAATATATAGCAAGCTACTTGCGGTACGATGAGAAGCCTCCGACATTCATACCTGYAAATCTTTATTGCTACATAAATATTCAAAAATGTAGGTAATTTATTGATAGTAATCTAAATTCTAATTTTCTAATCTCGGCGAGAGAGTCTTTGTTGAATATTCTCACATTGTAAATTCTATGAGTACGATATTCATCAATACGGGATTTGATGCAAAAGAAGTAGGGATTCTTTTCAGTATCGGTTGAAAAGAAAAAAGACAAAAAATGAGATAGCGATTACTTTTAACAATTTGTTGTCATAAGCCTTGAATTACAACTTGCAATTAACGCAATAGGCGGCAATTTCGTAAAAGTTTTGATTTTCTCGTTTTGTTTATTATTAATCCATTTTCTGTGGTATTAAGAATGCCTTATGAACATGTCCTCGTGTTGTGCGAAGACTACTTGACATTTAACAAAAAGAAGAGATATTTCGATATACAAATATATTTGCGTAATATTACACCRACTCTGCGCATCTCTAGGAAAATATTAGAAAATCCTTGCTTATAGAAAAATCCCCTTTAAGGAAATTCAGCATTAAGGTGTAGCTGTACAGATAAAAGCTCATATCATTAAATCCTTGAGAAGTCTGTGAAACAGCTTAGATGTCAACAGTGAGATSAATTTTCTTCTTAGTTCGAAAAGTCCAAACATATTCCTATTTCTTATCTTTCCTTCGAGTCACTGATATATTTTAGTAGAGAAGAGAAATCGAAAGACTCAATAATGCGTTTTTGAAGAGATACTTCGATAAGGAACATGGTAAAATCACAATTATATTTCATAATATTTAGTTTTATAAAAAGAACATCAATATTGTAAATTATCAATACTACAAATTTAGACGGACAGCTAGTCAATTCGTGAAAGCCATTTTTCAAAGAGCGCAATGTATTGATAATGAAATATGCTAACGTACAACTACGAGTTAATTTCCGCAATGGCATTTTTTCCCCGATAATCATCTATCCATCGGCAAAAGGCAAACATAGATAGCTATCATCTTACCTTTACTAGAATCAAGAATATGAAATTGAAATATGGTGCTTCTAGTCACTCTTGACAACTGTTCAAATAAAAGCTGTTTTGGTGTCAGTTTGGATACTATAAGCAGGTTTGGGGCGACGTTTTCGTGTCAAACCAGAATATAACAGCTCTAGCTATTGTGTCATTGGTCAAAACTGTAAGCAAATTTGTTGTATTTATGGTATATGTTTACTTTAAATTGAGACTCATGTTGTTTGTTACGGGATGGTTCTAGACATTGCTATCCGTTTTTAAGACAACAAACAGTATCATTGAGGAAGTGTATCCGGGTCTGGTACTTCGTTATCCTTGTCTGAAAGTGTTTTTTTTTTTTATTTTAAGATAATTATGAATTCACTAATTATGCTATCTGAATGATCATTTGAACGTTTGTAAAAAAAGAAAACCGAAAATAAGAAACCGTTCAGAAATAAAGAAAAACGTATCGCCACCAAGAAGAAAAAGTATCGACGCCATGTTGGATGAATGAACATGAGATACTAATAATATAATGCTTCGTTATCTCCCTACGGCTATGACGTAAAGTCCTACGTATGAATAGGGCTTGTCCTTTCACAGCTCGCATCTTTATTTTATATTAAGAACGAAAAATATGCTTAGATCTAAAATCCTATTCAGTGAGAAAAGCATCAGAGTGAGAATCAAATATGACTTAAACAGAATGAAATATGAATAAATAAACAAGATGAAGAACTGCTTTTTTGATAAAAATCCATCTGCATGTTTGTCGCAGTCCCTAACGAAATTACGAACAATACAAAGAATCCATAAAACTAGCGTGTGTTTTAGCTGTCTGATCTCAGTGATCTTGGCACTTGGTAATCTCATATACATTTACTTCTGACATGGATTTTAATCACTGCATAAATCGGAAATCGAATAGCAAAAACAAGAGCTAGCTTTTGCTAATGAAGGATTTTGAATCTCCTTGAATCTTCTACAAAAGAAAAAACTCTTAACTGCACAAGGCTCAATCTGCCGGCGGTCGATCTCCAGKATGCAAATCTTCACCTGTCGTGAGTGGACCTAACAGTTCACGTGACATGTTCCTAGAAATTGATTGACAACCTAACTAACTAAAACGACATTTATTAATGAAAAGATTTCGTTTTGAAGTCTTTGTTGAAGAGCTTTTTTGAATTAAAGAACAAGGTTTTAGATGCCAGGGTCCCTTGCAAATGTATACTATAATCCGGTCTATCAGCAGATATGACCATGAATATCACTCAATGTAGTAATCAATACAGTGGGGCGCTCAAGTGTACGTGCAAGGAAGAGCACTTAAAGTCATTAAAACATCGGTCTGCGTTCTCAAACAAAATGACCCTTTTTGTGCAAAAGGGGTTTAGGATTTGATGCTTGGATTTCCTGCGAGTTTCCATTTGCGAAATAGTTGTTTCTACGAACAGTCAAAACAGCTGCGTTTGTCCAGTATTAGGATTGTAAACGTCCGGTTTAGACTTTTAGCCATTTAAACGACATTATACTGAATATAGATTATAATATCTTTCACTGCTAATATTAGAAATTCTCACAGAGAGGAAACATAATGAAGTCGTATGTTTATTCATATTGATTACCTGTTCTTCTTAAATCTAATCTCATCAGAGTTAACTCAAATCTAAAGTACATATAGATATAAAATATGTCGTTCAAACAGTGCATTTTGCGTGTATTTAGTGTGAGCTGTAAACAAAGTTATGTTTTCTTTCTAGATATACCCATCTTTCAGGTTAAAAAAAAACCTCTTGACACTATGGGTTTTTTTTCGTTCTTGGTGTAAAACCTTATAAGGTAAACGAGGATCTTAGTCGATGTTCAATTTGGCTAAAAAAGGCAAGATGCTCGAAATCAATATCTCGTGAATCTAGTACGTTGGGTTTAATATCAGTCAAATATCTTTCTATTGGTACTTATACCCATCCTGCTGTACTTAAAACTGTCAGTTTCTCCTAAATGTTAAAGCCTTAATTACGTGATAGACGTTTATAGAATAATTCAACTGGTATCAWGTTAGCTTTTTAAGTTTGATCAATGACGTAATTTTTAATCTTCCAAAAAAAMCATCAAAATAGGCGTGGCAGGCACGTGCGTATCAARGTTAATAACATCTATACACATCAGGGAAATAACATCAAT